CTATTAGAATTGAAAAAAGATCCGGTTAACCGGTTAGCGTTTTTGGTATTCAATATTTGGTCCTTCCGACGGTTAATAGGACAACACTAATTTATATTAGAATCGCCTAATACAGAATAACTGTTCAAGAAAGAAGTAGACAGAAAAGGGAGCAATAAAAAGACATTAATTGTATAATAGACAACGGAATGGCAAACAAAGGAAAGGACAAAAACAAACGGTTGGTTAAACTAAAATAGAGCATCTCAAACCTCACGAAAATCGGGGGTGAACTCGGAATTCTCAAAATGAAGAAGCGGTTTATTTCTTATCATTATACGTCGATAAGGATACATTGTAGATACAAACAATCAGTATTTACATTCGACATTTAGAAAAGAGCTTTAACAAAAGGAAATTAAGAGACTCCAGCTTACATTGTCATGTGTCATTCAATAGAGGAAATTGACAAAAACATCTTTATTGTTCTCAAAATTATACAATTTGTATCCATCCATGTTAGTAATCTCATATACAAATAAGAAGATGAGGTAGGATTGCCTATGAATAAATAAAGGCAACAGTAGTATACCGGTGTTCTAAATCATAAATCGATTGAGCGAAAACAAATCCGGGTTACAAACTAAAACCGAGGGAAACACATCAACTATAAGAGGAAAACAAAGGAACAGCAGGAGCACTGAAGTGCTACAAAAACAAACGCCAACATACATAGAAACAAACAATTTGAGACAACTCTCCACCAGAGACTAAATGACGTAGAAGTTAACAACTATATGTCACCGTACTGCCTTTATCAACGAGCAAAACCCAAACCGCATAGTAAGCTTCAAAACAGTTCAAACGAGAAAACTAACGGCCTGATTTATGTACAAAACAAAAAACGAAAAACAAATATGATATACAGCAACAAAGGACAACCACTGAATTACAGAATTCTGACATGGAACATACACATATAGATTGTGGCGGGGTTAAACATGTTTGCTGGCGCCAATCCCTTCACCCTAACATGGGACAACGGTGTAACATTACAAAATAAGAACAGTTGAAAACGGCTTAACTCATCAGATCGATACAAAGCACTTACAAAATAACAAAAAACACAAAAGACACAAAGTACAGATCTGAGAGTACTCGTAGTTACTGAAAGCTAGTAAAAACAACTAAAAAAACATCATGTATCTAATACTAAAATGATTTATTATTTACTCATACATTTGTTGTAGTTAATTTAACTCGCAAAAAGATACCATTTGGTCATTGCTTCAATAAATTTTTTCTTGTCATTTACAGTTTTCTTTGGCACTAGTTCAGACAAAAAAAAGTCATTTTTTTGTTAGTGTTCTGATAATCGATAAACATTTGTTTAAAAAAACTTTGAAGGTGTGTTTGCTATGCTCAAAGGAAGCTCCGTTTCATCGTGTTCGCGGTAGCAAAGTGAAAGATATATATCAATATATATATATATATATATTTCTTTTTAAGATATCTTATAAACTATATTAGATATCTTATTAAGTATATAAGATATCTTATAAACGTTAGATGATATCTTATAAACTTTAGATGATATCTTATAAAGTATATTAGATATCATATAAAGTGTATGAGATGTCTTATATAAGATATCTTATAAAGTTTATAAGATATCTTATAAAAACTAGATTAAAAGATATATTATCTATTATATGAGTTATCTTGAAGTTCGAATAAATTGTAAAACGGCTTGCTATATATGTAAGTCATAGAATTAAATATTAGATATGTATGTTACAGATGTTACACAATATAAAGTATAATTATATTATAAAATTTCAACCTATGTTGACTCTCTCGGTTTAATTGTTTAATAATTTTAATGAAAATATTCTTTTTAAAGTTAGTTCTTTTTTTTTTCTCACATTCATAAAACTATGAGTAAAAGGAGACGTGGAATATACATTAATGAAACAGCAATCTAACAACCCAAATAAGCGAAATACATGATAAAGAAGTCAACATAAACAGTATATAGTTGTCTATAAATTTTTTATGGAGCTTTAAATTCTCCAAACAAACAAAAAATATTATAATTCGTTGCGGATTAATAGTAGGTTTTTCACATCGCACCCAATTTTTAAAAAAATCCATAGTATATTCTTTTATTTAGTCAGTCCACCGATTGAATTGAACAAAAGGTATGAAATAAATGAAGATACGATAAAAATCAGAACCAGAAAAATCACTTATTCTTATAGGTAAAAAAATATAAACAAATTAATAGAAAACACTTATACCGTATCGCTCTATATAAGATTTCATTCGACCATTTTATATTTTTTTGTTATAAATTTGAATTTGGATTTTGCCTATTCCAGATGTCAAAAGAAAATATTTAAACAAAACTCATCAAAGATACCAGTTTTTAACTTTATACGCCAAACTCGCTTTTCGTCTACAGAAGACTCATCAGTTACGCTCGAATTTAAAAAGTTTAAAATCCAAATAAAATACGAGGTTAAAGAGCATTGCGGGCATTAATTCCAAAAGGTTTTTACCAAATACAGACTCCAGGGGTGTGATCAATTTCTTTAAAATGTAATCGATTAAATTATAACTAATTTGCTTATTTAATGTAATCGATTACATTACAATTACACCTAAATTCAGATTTAATCGATTACATTAGATTACCTTATTTTTTTAAATAATCATGATTACTTTGGATTACGTATGATTACAAAGTTTATTGTGATATTAAAGAATCTATAAGTCTTATTGACTTTTTATCTTTACGAAAAAGGTATTTTTTTTGAAAATTTGTTCTTTTTATTTCCTTAATATATATATCAACCAGGTACAACCCACCATTTTTTCGTAAAATGTCCTGTACCAAGTCAAGGATGTGGCAGTTGTTATCAAATAGTCCGTTTCTATGTATGTTGGCGTTTGTTTTTTTTTTTTTTTGTAGCAGTTCAGTGTTTCTATTGTTCTGTTGTTTTCCTCTTATACTTGATTGATATCGGTTTTGGTTTGTGACCCGGATTTATTAATTGATTTATGAGTATTGAACAGCGATATAATACTGTTGCCTATATTTATGCATCTTATTCAGAATGTAGACGACTAGAAGCAGCGTAACACGCATACAGTTTGATAGCATAGACAAGTGTTACCTCCGGTGTCAAAGATGTTCGCATTGTTTTATAGACATTTGAGTCAGGAATATGACAATTGTTATCCATTCGTTTGATGTGTTTGAGTTTTTAAATTTGTCATTTAATTAGGGACGTTCCGTTTTTAATTTTCCTGGGAGTTCAGCATTTTTTGTTATTCTACTTTTTATGCACAATTAACTAAAAACCTGAACCAATTATGAAAAATCAATTAAGTAGTTTCATTGTGTGTGGGGATATAATTGACGCATCCATGTTTTTACAGGAGTTTATCACTACTTCATTTTTTTTTACAAACAATAGTCGAGCTTGAGAGTTTTTTTTTAATAATTTGAATTATTTGGACATTTTTCATTCATAAATAGTTTAAAGGTAATCTATTTTAATATTTACGTCATCAACTGGCATTAAGTGGTATAGTGATGGCCGCCTGCCGCCAGACACAGCAATTATCGCACCCTAATTTATTAGCCACTAGATGGGCAGGAACTTGTTTGTTTTTTCAAATATATATTTCTCGATCTAGGACATTCAAACTCATAAGTTGAAAACAAACTGACAACGCCATGGTTTAAAAAGAAACAGACAAACAGACAAACAATAATACAAAAACACAACATAGAAAACAAAAGACTGAGCAACACAAACCCCACCAAAAACTGGGGGTCATCTCAGGTGCATAGGAAGGGTAAGCAGATTCTGCTCCACATGTTGCACCCGTCGTGTAGCTCATGTTTGTACAAGACCTGTAATAAGTCTAATTCAGTAGGTCACATTCTGGAAAAGGGGACGGGATTGTAGTTACTTCATCAGAAACATGTCCGCTATCATCTGTGAAACGGAAATTCTATAACGGTCAACCAACTCGTGATGGTGTCCGGTATACTTACGAAGAGATGATTTCAACTTCACCACTTGGAACTCTTGGTTTAATAGCTTCCTTGTGAGCAGCAACCTTCTATCAAGGAAATCATGATTGGAATTACTGGCATTGGAATATGGATGATATATATTTGGTATGCAGGCGCTGTTAGATTGTTGTTACATAGAAGTGGGAAGTTTACAATTGAGAAGTTGAAATCATCTCTTTCGTCGTAACGTTTTTTTTTCAACTAACCCTTATTGTCAATTTCGAGATGTAAGTCAAGATATGAGGCAGACTTATTTGTATCTGTTGTATCCTTTATTTCAAGTTCGGAGGGATAGATGGGCCAATATGCGCAATTAAATTGCTCCGTAGGCGGTAATGGTAACGTTTTATTCTTTAGCCCAGTCCATATCGTAAACTTGGATATGTATGATGGCTCGTTTCGAAGTTGAGACATTGTCACATATGCGGTTAAATTTTCGGGATACGTAGTGATATTCTTTTTTCCGTAAATTAGCATACCCCGAAAATCATTTCGTGATGCGGCTCCTCGTGGTAAGAAATCCCTTTTTTCACACATTAGGTTCTTTGAAAATTTAATACTTTCAATAAATTTAATAACTCCGTTGTTTTCACACATTTATTCTATGGTCTACTACTTTCCAAATCAACACAAATTAATTGTTAAGCTCAGTCACTTGTTAAAAATAGAAACATGTCCAATATCACTACACAGAAATTTTTTGTTAACGCACAACTTTTGAGTTCCTCAATTTGAGGTGAATTAAGGATATTGACCGACATGCAATAATAGAATATATAATATGGAATGTGGAATGTCGTTTTTCTTTTATTTTATTTTCACTCTTATGTTGTCTTTCTTTTATAATCGTATGGTCTCGATTCTCACTTCTGTCATATTTAACTATTGAAAAATATTAATTTTTATTCTATTTTATTTCCTCTAACCACAGATTCAACTACACCTCAAAATAATGAAACTACATCTCCTTCAACGAGGTCCACTAAAACTCAAAATTCTGGAACTACATCTCCTTCAACGATGTCCATTACAACTCAAAATCCTGGAACTACATCTCCTTCAACGACATCCACTACAACCCAAAATCCTGGAACTACATCTCCTTCAACGACGTTCCCTACAACTCAAAATCCTGGAACTACGTCTCCTTCAACGACGTCCACTACAACTCAAAATCATGGAACAACATCTCCTTCAACGAGGTCCACCACAACTCAAAATTCTGAAACTACATCTCCTTCAACGACGTCCACTACAACTCAAAATCCAGGAACAACATCTCCTTCAACGACGTCCATTACAACTCAAAATCCTGTAACTACATCTCCTTCAACGAGGTCCACTACAACTCAAAATCCTGGAAGTACATCTCCTTCAACAACGTCCATTACAACTCAAAATCCTGAAACTACATCTCCTTGAACGAGGTCCACTACAACTCAAAATCCTGGAATTACATCTCCTTCAACGACGTCCATTACAACTCAAAATCCTGAAACTACATCTCCTTCAACGACGTTCACTACAACTCAAAATTCTGAAACTACATCTCCTTCAACGACATCCACTACAACTCAAAATCCTGGAACTACATCTCCTTCAACGACGTCCCCTACAACTCAAAATCATGGAACTACATCTCCTCCAACGACGTCCACTACAACTCAAAATCCTGGAACTACATCTCCTTCAACGACGTCCATTACAACTCAAAATCCTGAAACTACATCTCCTTCAACGAGGTCCACAACAACTCAAAATCCTGGAACTACATCTCCTTCAACGACGTCCATTACAACTCAAAATCCTGGAACTACATCTCTTTCAACGACGTCCACTACAACTCAAAATTCTGAAACTACATCTCCTTCAACGACATCCACTACAACTCAAAATCCTGGAACTACATCTCCTTCAACGACGTCCCCTACAACTCAAAATCCTGGAACTACATCTCCTTCAACGACGTCCACTACAACTCAAAATCATGGTACTTCATCTCCTTCAACGACGTCCACTACAACTCAAAATCCTGGAACTACATCTCCTTCAACGACGTCCACTACAACTCAAAATTATGGAACTTCATCTCCTTCAACGACATCCACTATAACTCAAAATCCTGGAACTACATCTCCTTCAACGACGTCCACTACAACTCAAAATCCCGTAACATCTCCTTCAACGACGTCCACTACAACTCAAAATCCTGTAACTACATCTCCTTCAACGACGTTCACTACAACTCAAAAGCCTGGAACTACATCTCCTTCAACGACATCCACTACAACCCAAAATCCTGGAACTACATCTCCTGCAACGACGTCCACTACAACCCAAAATCATGGAACTACATCTCCTTCAACGACGTCAACTACCGCTCAAAATCATGGAACTATATCTCCTTCAACGACGTCCGCTTCAACTCAAAATCCTGGAACTACATTTCCTTCAACGACGTCCACTACAACTCAAAATCCTGGAACTACACCAACAACGACTACAAAACCTGGTAAATTATTATTGTATTCTTTGTTTTTCTTTTTAGTACGTTTATCAATACATTAAATTAAGTGAATGCTTTATTTTTTTAACGATAAAAATAAAAGGGGAATGTACATATAAGGGTGTGGTTGGGGGTTTCCAGAATATAGAATAATAAGCAAATAATAAAAAGAATAGAGAAAAATGGATGAGAAAAAAAAGAATAGAGAATAATGAGTTGCTAACATATAAGATTGGAGAAAAATGGGCAAAAAGTATAAAGAACAGAGAAAAGTGGCCTAAAGAATACAGAAATGAAGAACCCCTCCCCCACATCCAGACTCTCACATATTAATGTTTAAAATATAGGAAAGGAAGTGTAGTAATATATTTCTCATCTACAGGCGGTCATGCTTCGTCCAAATTTTCAACAGCACTTGCATTGGTATCGCTTTAAACTTATAAAATTGGCGTACACAATTTTACACCTGGTTTCTATGATGAGCTTATTTACAATCAATTATTTAAGAGAAATTAAAGTTTTAATATTGAATTGCACGATAAAATCAGTAGGCCAAAAAGTATTTAGAATTTCCAACAATGGACTTATTTGCAGAATTGTTTTATTATTATCATTGATATGGGTTTTAGACGTCTTTGGGATGTATAAATTTAGCATGTGACATGTTCCAATACATTTATTTGCTGTTAAACATAATAGAAATGCGACCGAAACATCGTATTTAGCGGGGTTTTATGGAAATATTATATTTAAATCTAACTATTGAAAGGCAATTCATACAACACCTATAAATGTAACTAGAACACAAGTTTTGAGTAGCCTAAAGGAACAATATAAAAATACTTATTCATTTATTCGTTTTATTTATTAATGGACTATTTATTCCTCAGAGAAACATATTTTACCTCTTTTACCTCGTTTTTCAAAATGTGAAGTTTGTCAGAACTGAATATGAACAACATGCGCCGTTATAATGGAGAGGTTCACGTTCTTTTCAACTTACGGGTAACTCTGTTATCCACTTCGACAAAAGTGAAACATAACGTAGACAATATAACCAGTCTAGTTTGCCTTTTTATAACGTTTTAAATTATATTTTGCAGAGGCGATGTCATGCCAATGTCCATGCAGCTCTCTTGGATTTTGGGCAAGGAAAGACTTATCCAACTATTCAATAGACGAACTTCTCGAAATGTTGGCTCCTGAACTGGCAAAAATCGAGAAAGAATTATCCGTTGACGAATCCAACTTGTCGGCGACGATTAATAAAAGGATAAGTGCAAAAGATGAGAGAAAGTCTTCTCAGTCCATCGGCATTCTTGGAATAGTCTTCATTGTTTCCGTCTTATTGGGCGTCGTTATCATAGATATGATGTCACTTATGAAATTCATGAAGCCTAAATTGAAGAGAGGAAAAACTGATACTTCAAAACCAGAAGAACGGCCAGAATAGATGATAGAATTCAATGAATCATATAAATCTGACTCCATATTTAAGTTTTAAGCAAGATATTTAAACGTGTTTCGTTCTATACTGGATACCCTTTGTATTGATTTTTCAAGAACGAATCAGTAGATATAGTCTTCTTGGAATATACCTTGCAGATTACTTCATTAGGTGGTTTAAGTTTTCCCTACTTGTTGTTGAACTAGATTTGTCTGCCTTCATTTATAGAATTTCATGCTGTGTGGTTTTTTTTTTTAATAATTTATACGAAATTATTATAATCACATTTTGCATGAACAGCGAAATCGCTTTTAGCTAAAAATGTGATCGTCACTTCCTTTTATTTGTTACAATCTAAAAATCATCACACACAGCATTCAAGTATATTTTTTGCAGATCCTTTAAATAAACTATGTAAATGTAATAATCATTTCGAAATCATAGTGTAAAACTAAACACAAACTTCCATAATCATTATCTATGCATACCATTGGATAATAATGTATTTGTCAATTTTAAAAAATATCACAGGTACACGAACAATGCTTGAACAGTATTTTGACTAATTGGGTAACGGAGCATATTATTAGCTCACCTGGTCGCAGCCAATTGAGCTTTTCTCATCACTTGACGTCCGTCGTCCGTCGTCCATTGTCGTCCGGTCGTCATAGTCGTCGTCGTCGTTAACTTTTTACATTTTGAACTCTTCTAGAGAACTACTGAATGGAATGAAACAAAAACATAGCATGAATGTTCCTTATGAGGTGCTGACCAAGTGTTATTACTTTGTAGCAAATCCATCATCCAAGATGGCCGCTAGTGGGGGTTTCGTTTAACATTGGACCCTATGAACAATACACGTCTTATTTTATAGAAGCACTAAATGGAATGTAACTTAACATAGCATGAATATTCCTTATGAGATGCTGACCAAGTGTTGTTACTTTGAAGCCGATCCATCATCCAAGATGGCCGCCAGAGAGGGACTTAGTTTTACATGGGACCCTAGGGGAAATAATACAAATGTCTTCTTTTAGAGAACCATTAAATGGAATGAAATAAAACATGGCATGAATGTTCCTTAATAGGTGCTGACCAAGTGTTGTAACTTTGTAGGCGATCAATCATTCAAGATGGCCGCAAGCAGGGACTTAGTTTTACGTAGGACCTTATGGGAAATATATACAAATGTTTTTCTTTCAGAGAATCACTGAATGGAATAAAACCAAACATGGCATGAGTGTTCCTATTGAGGTGCTGACCAAGTGTTGTTACTTTTTAGCCAATCAATCATCCAAGATGGCTGCCAGCAGGGAACTTAGTTTAACAAAGGACCCTGATTGAAATACATACAAAAGCCTTCATTTGAAGAACCACTGAATGGAATGAAACCAAACATGGCATAAATGTTCCTTATAAGGTGCTGACCAAGTGTTGTTACTTTGTAGCAAACGGGGGACTTAGTTTAACAAAGGACCTTAATAGAAATATATACAAATGTCTTCTTCTAGAATAATGGATTGAAACCAAACGTGGTATGAATGTTTTGTTTGTTTTTTTTTTTTTTTTTTTAAGTTGCTGACGAAGTGTTGTTACTTTGTAGCTGATTTGTCATTGTCCTTATAAAGTCATTTTCTACAATTTCAATGAATTTATTGGTAATTTCTGTAAACTTTACAAAAGTCTTCTGCTTTTGATTAAATTACGGGGCCAATATTAAACCAAGTTTGGCCTCAATCATTATTAGGGTATCTCTTATGATTTTAATCTATTTTTACATAATTTCCAAAACCAAAGTAGAATTAGATGAGCGACAGAGGCTCTTGAGAGCCTCTAGTTTTATACTATTATCCTGGGTTGCATTCATACACCTAAATTGTAATCATTATTTGAATGCAAGAGACGTACTCGAATGATCCGTTTTGAGTCAATAAACGTTCAGCATTTATGTCAACATTGCGCACAATGTTTTAATAAATTATAAAATTCACCAATTTAACGATTTCATTTTTGCATCAGCAAAAGATATACTGATAAAGGATAATTGTTATCTGTAATATCTTTTAACTTTTTGTGTTGTTGTAAACTTTTAAGACGTTTTAAAATATACAGTCATATGACCATCATCAAACGTTTATCTCCAAAATTATTAAGGTTATTGTCATCAGGTCCCTTATTCTTTTTCATTATATATACCATTCTCAATTACATGTATTTAAGAAATGAATGCTTCTTTTTGTAATTTAATTGGGGTGTTAAAGTGTTGACCGAAGCACGTTTTGTATGAAGCGCGGTCCAAGAAATGTGTGCACGATCAACACTTTTACACTCCATTTAAATTACAAAAAGAAGCATTCATTTCTTATAATTACATTTTTATACTAATAAGACCATGAAAAAAAGTTTTACCAAATTTTTATTTTATTTACCTGTACATTTTTTTGTAGAAGCACGTGTCATCACAAATGTAACATTTCATTTTGGTATGAAGTTTGATTTTTGAATGACGCGCAATTGTTGATTTGAAAACTAACGAATTCTTTTGAAACATACATGTAATATAATTTTCCCAATTGTAGTTTCGCTATAATGACACAAGTGTTGCCCTCATATGAGGTGAATATCCAAATTGTAAATCCGATATGGCCTGTCTTCCCGAGGACTTTGTGAAACCATAATAGCATATCATAATTATTTTTTTGATTGAAGAATTTTAACTAGAGATTATACCAGTGTTAAAAATAATCAAAGTGTATAAGACCTGAGCCAAGGGAACAGTTGTTTACACATCTTTAAACAATGTTTTGTGTTTTACTGATAAAAAAAAATGATAACGTTGATAGTAATTATCATAAATGAGACAAAATGATGATAAGTACCCATTTTGCATGAGGCAACTCATCCTGATGAAGGATATTTTTTATCCAAAATATTCAATTATTTTTGGTGGTGTTGTAGCCTTTTTAGACGTATGTTATTACTTTTCATTTTTTAGATTCAACAAAATTAATTGTACCCACCTATATGAATGGTTTTAAATGCTTGTTTTATTTTGTGCGGTTCTTAATTCACGATCTTGATAACTGCCATAAAGACTATAAAGTTTATCATGCACTGTTAACAATCTTCGAGCAATAAATCCAGACTATTAAAATGAAATATCAGGAAGAGAGCTCAGTTGTATATTTTTCTGTGGAACATCGAAAGAAATGATAAAATTTGGTGTAAACGTCCCTGTGTTATCCATTTTTATTCTAATTTTTAATTTTTTTTCAAAAGCTCAACATGAAATCTAGTGCAGAATAAACCAAGTGCATACATGTTATTTCCATTGAGTTCTTCTGTATCAATTTAATCAAAAACATCAAAGATGCCAGGCTTATAAAACCGTGTTTTAAGGTGACTAACAGACATATTGAGAACAAAAGGAGTCCACGAGAAACAATAAATAATAGTATGTCCTACCTGGATAGAAATTTTCGCTGAAATACGAGCACTTGGGGGGATATTTTAAAAGCAGAGAATAACGAAATAATTTTGAGACCAGAGATTTATCAAGGATACATGTTCTATGTGAATATCTTTCATTGTAATCCAAACACGTTGAATAACATTTTTTGGTGGTTAGGTAGATATTTCCATTTTGCATCATGCAACTCATTCTGACGAAGGATATGTTTTATTCGAAATATTTGTTTTTATTGTTGATGGTGTTGTAACATTTTTTGACATATGTAATTACTATTTGTGTTTTAGATTCATTAATATTAATTGTACACACCTATATGAATGGTTTCACTCGCTTGTTTTATCTTCGTAGGGGATTACTTTTTACAACAAGAACACATTTTTTACTACAGATTATTGTGCTTGTATTTTCTCATGTTGGCATTGTCTGTTGTGTTTTTTGCAATTTTATGTGAATTAAACAAAAAATGGATATGAGGATTTGTTTTAAATTAGTATGAATTCATATTTGCATTGATATTTATTTATTTATGTATTAATCCTTATTAGTATATGTAATGTTTCTCTTATTAAGTTTGTATATGTTTTATATACTGATTTTACATAAAATAGGGGCATTATGTTTTTTCGGTCTGTGCGTCGGTCTGTTCGTTCGTCCTTCAATCCGTCTGTTTGTCCGTCAGTTCGTCTGTCTGTCCCGCTTCAGGTTAAAGTTTTTTGTCATGTTAGTTTTTGATGAAGTTGAAGTCTAATCAACTATAAACTTAGTACACATGTTCCCGATGATATGATTTTTCTCATTTTAATGCTAAATTACAGTTTTGACCCCAATTTCACGGTCCACTGAAAATAGAAAAAGATAGTGCGAGTGGGGCATCCGTGTAATATGGACACATTCTTGTTTTCATATGGATTGATAGTAAATGTGATGTGAAAGTTACTACGGTAATCTATTGAGATTTGGGATCAATTCTTTATTAGGGTATTAATTATGTGTGGTCATATGTTTGGTATAAGTCAATGAGACAGAAACGCAAAGACATAAATAACTAATTATAATAAACATCTAATAAAGGTCAACGTCCATTCTTCCATTATTCTTCAGATGTCTATACACATGGCAAGCTCTAGGTTGTCCCAGGTTAAAAAAAAAACATTAAAATATTAAAAATATACTATTTAAGATTTGCCATTAATACCAAAATCACCTTTGACCAAAAAACATGTTGATAATGATATCACATAACAAAGAGAGGGACTTCGGTGACCGAGTGGTCTAAATAGTTCAACTGCTGTATCACTAGCCTGTTAATACTTGGTTTTGGGGTTTGAATCCCGCACGTGGCAGGTGCATTTGACTCCAATCTTACTTCACTAGGATTGTCAGTTTTCCTGCCAAAGACCAGTGGTTCTGTCCGGACACTCTGGCTTTCTCCACCAAAGAAATAACGCCACGAAATAGCCAATAGTGCTGAAAGTGTCGTAAAACACCAAAAGTTAATAAGTTTAGTTAATCAGCATAAAGACTGGATAAAACT